GCCAGCCGTTCATGCACTGAAACCTCTACAGACTGTGAGCTAAATAAACCTTTCCTCATTTAAACTTGGGTGTTGGGTATTTTGTCTCAGCAGCAAGAACAGTAACTAACACACGTTACAAATAAGTCTTTCCAGGGGAAGGTGTTACGTTTTCAGAATAAAAATGAAGACAGCTGTGTTGGCCCTATCAAAAAGTAAGTAGAGCCTGGAAGTTATGACGGAATCGTTCTTATGGACAACTGCCTGACACTAGGAGGAAAAGCCCTGCTCCCAGGTACCTATGCACGGGAAGCACAAGCCATAGCTCTGGCAGGATCCTCTGTTTCAACACAGGTGAGAAAATGACTACTTTCACTGATCCCCAATACGCTTTTTTAGTAGCCCATGTCCATGGAGCCATTAAAAAAAAGGACCTCTACATGAATTACTTATAATTTCCCATTCACGTTCTTTGTTAGGATTTAGTGGGGCTTAAGTTCTGGCTCTTTTGCTTATAGACTTCAGCTGTTGTTTGATGACTGAGCCTGTGCCCTTCTCATGGCTAAGTAAGTGCCAGTAATTTCTCTAACCCGTACGTGCATCCCAGTTTAGCAGGAAGTGGCCAGATTGATTGACTGTTGTCCCAGGTCCCAAACAAGTGAGGAGTTGTAACAGAGACTCTTGAAACTGTCTTTTGACAGCCCCCCAGCCATTTGAATGGAACCCTCTCTTAAGTTCTAATTATTATTATTATTATTATTTTGCCTTTTGTTTTTGTTTTTGTTTTTTGTTTTTTTCTGGTACCGGGAATTGAACTCACGACCTTGCACTTGCCAGGCAGGCGCTGTGCCACTGGGCTAAATCCCCAGCCCCTTATTTTGCCTTTTTGAGACTGGGTTTCGCTTTGCAGTTCACGCTGGCCTTGAACTCACTCTGTAGCCCAGGCTGCCCTGGAACTCACAGCGATCCTCCTGCCTCAGCCTCCCGAGTGCTGGGATTACAGGCCTGCACCACCAGGCCTGGTTTAAATTCTAATTAAACAGCTGGAGGAGGTCAAAGTCCATGAAACTGGTTCAGCAGGAGAGGAACCACCCGCATAGATGCAGAAGACCCTTCCCCCGAAACACGGAGTTCCCGCACATACCTTCTCTTTCCTCCACAGAAACCATTTGTGCTCCCTGAGCTGCCTAAAGATGGAGCTTTGAGGTGAAAGTCCGCTCTGTCGTCTTCACACCCGGCTCCTTTCACCAACTCCGATCTCCTGAAGTTTGGCTTCTCCAGCACGGCCAGACGGGCTTTGAATCTAGCGGCATTGACACAGCAAAGTCAGAAGGAAATTCCCTCTGTGTTAAGCCTCACACGCAGACTGCCCTAACCTCATGTCCTGTTAACCAATCTGCTTTTTTCTATTGTTTCCTTTTATCTGCCTTACAAAACACGCGGATTTTTCATTTCAGTAGGTGCTGGTTTTTTTCTTTTTCTTTCTTTCTTTCTCTCTTTTTTTTTTTTTTTTTTTTTAAATGAAACAGGACTTCCTTCCTCCCAGGGACACCCGTGAAGTTGTCCTTGGCTCCTCCTTCCATTCTGCCCTTCCTCTAGAGAAGCCACTGAGATGTAAACCACTAAACCTTCCTTTAGACTCACAGAACCTAGATGACCTTTGTACCGACCTTTAGTAATGACCATCAAGAGCCCAGGTTGCACTGGGATGTCCCAGAGAAGCAGGAGCCCTCTCTGACAAAGCCCCCGCCCAGCCTGCAGCCTCCTCCCCTCCCCATAAAAACTCTGTACCCTCTGGTAAAAATTGTCCTCCGAGCCATAGCTAACGTAACTCCATCTTGTGGTGCCCCTCTCAGCTGTTCACTGGGCTAGTGCCAGGTGCCCAGGTTGTGTGGAGCCATCCATGCCTGCAGCTGGACAGCGCTTCTGAGACACATGGTGTTTCCTGAAGAGGACAGCACAGGCCGATAGATCTGTGAGGAGCTGCCTCCTCCATCTTCCTCAGAGACACCCTTGAGAAGTCCTGGTGCCCTCCTACCACCTCTCCCAGTCTGTGTTTTGTTTTTTTATTCTCCTAACAGTACCTTCTAAAGAGCACAAGATTTTGTTTTGTTTTGTTTTTTGGTACCGGGAATCGAACTCAGGACCTTGGGCTTGCCAGGCAAGCGCTGTGCCACTGAGCTACGTCCCCAGCCCCTACCACCTCTTAGGTCCCCCGTACTAGGGCTCTGCGATGGATATTTGGGCCTGGCGACACCCTGATTCATCAGTTGCAGACAGACTCAATCTGATCTATAAACCAAATTTGTTGTGATTTTGTTTTTTGGCAGTCGTTGGACTGAGAATGATTTAAGAAAGTCAGAGTAGGGGGACCCCAGGGGAGCTGAGCAGCCACTATTTACCAGCCTGCGTATGAAAACTTTGAATCATAAGGGCCACAACCACATGCGCGAGGTGAACTTTTCACTGCTTGGGACCTGCTCCTGTTACTAATGCTGCAGTCCTTCCAGCTTTTAGTCCAGGAACCAGCCTGCTCTGAATTTCTGCTCTACCTTCTGACTCTTATTCTAATCTGTTTCTTTCTTTCCGTCCATCCCACCCCCACCCGTGGCTTTCAGTACTGAGGACTGAACCCAGGGCCTTAACACTAAGCTACATCCACAGTTCTTTTTTAACTTTTTATTTTGAGACAAGGCCTTGCCAAGTTGGGCTTGAGCTTGTGATCCTCCTGCCTCTGCCTCCTAGAACACTGGGTTTACAGGTATGCACCGCTGTGCCCAGCTCCTTGCCGGTTCTTCAAGCACGCTGTTAGCCTTGGTGCTGTGTACCAGCCCTGCTTCCACGGGCAGTTTCTATTCCTGAGCACGGATTTTTGTTTTCTGCGGAGCTTTGTCCTTTGTCCTTTCTAGCCCTCCTCGCTATCCTGCCCACATTCCTGCTGCCCAGCCTCTCCAGGGCCAGCTAAAGGCCCTGCCACCCCTGCTCTTCCTCTGCAGGGAGGCGGGACGGAGAGCTTTCACACGGCTCTATGGTGGGGACACCAAGGCTCTGGCTGCAGTGGCTGTTCTACTTACTGACCCTGCTCGCGTGGGCAATCCGGACCCGGATGTGGCTGGCAGAGCTAAGAGCTGGAGGAGCTACGAGGGTATCAGAAAACGTTACTTTTCAACACAGTGTTTGGAAACATTTGTAATTTTCTTCTGTAATTTCTTATCTGTTTTTCCTACCAAGGTGTTGTGCCCTCCATAGTACCTAACTGGGTGTCTGTGTTGGGAGTGACGTCCCAGTGGGCAGTGATGTGCAGGCCTACAGCGCTTGAACAGCTGCAAAGCCATTCCTAAGGCCTGGAGTGCGTCTTTACAGCAGAGGGAGAAGCCTCGCTGCCAACACCCGGGCCGGGCACCTGTCTCACAAAGCCCATCAGACAGAGGTGGTGCAGGCAGAAAAGGAGTTTTCTTTTCAGTGAGATCACGGGGGAGGACAGAGGTCCAGGACCGAAAGAGCCGCCCTCACAAATGCCCACTGGTCTCCCTTACACAGGCAGAGGAACAAAGGCAAAGGCTGGGGTTTCCACGCTTAGCAGAGGCCCGGCTCGTCTTGGTCCAGCCCTGGAGCGGCTGATCATTACCGCTGGCCATTGTCTCAGGGTCGCCACGTGGAGCTTTGCTGGTGCCAAGACGTGGCTGTGGCTTGGGCGGGGTAGTTTCGGTCTTGTGTCAAACGTTCATCCATCAGACCCGTCACTCCTGGGCCCCACGGTGACTGGTGGGGAGAACGGCTCGAGACCTCAGGAGGGGCTGGGGCTTGCTCAGCGGGCCGCGCTCCACCCCCAGCACGAACCGCACGCACACTCCCAACCGCACACACTCACACACACACACACTCATCCGCCACCCACGATCAAATATACACCCACCACTCACACACACCGGGGAGCACTCGGAAGGAAAAACGTCAGCTGCAAGACAGAGCCAGGGAATATGAGGGGAGCCCTCAGCGCCTGGGTCCTCGGGCGCCCTCGGAGCCTCCTTCGGGAGCTTCTTCCCTGCTTTCGGGGTCTGACGTTCCGGCCTTGCTGTGTCCACGCTGACGCCAGCTGAGCCCCCTCTGTCCCAGGTCAGCGCGAGTTTGTCTTTAAGACCCTAAGGAGGAATGGGATGCCCTTGACAGGCCCCGCCCACCCCACCTTTCGGACTCTTGGTTCGTCCCCTCCTTGGGGGCCCCGCCCCGCGGCAGCCCGCGATCTCCGCCTCCCTGAAGCTTGGAGGAGTCGAGGCGCCAGGCCTCCCGAGTCCTAGAGCGGTCACGCAGGAGCCGGCCAGCGAGCGTGCGCAACCCGGTGCGAAGGAGGCCGCAGAGGTCCAGGGGCGCTGGGGGCGGGGCGGGATCTTGAGTCAGGAGGAGTGGAGACGCCAGCATTCCCGGGTCCTAGAGCGGTCGCGCTGTGCAACCCGGCCTGACTCAGGACGGAGGAGCGAGCGGTGGTGCGGGGAGGGACGTGGAGGGACGCGGAGGGACGGGGAGGGGAGGGGACCGGAGGGGAAGAGAGGAAAGGGGGAGTAGGGCGGGCCTGGACGGGAGGAGGTGAGCGGTGGGTGGGTAGCGGCGGGGCTGGGGGTTGCGCGGGCTGGTGATCCCAGCACTCTGGGAAGTTGAGGCAAGAGGATGACAGAGCAACTCATCCAGACCCTATCTCAAAGTAGAAATGAAGAAGTGCCGGGCATGTAGCTCAGTGGGAAAGCCCAGGATTCGGTTTGTAGTTACCAAAAAGAAAGACAAAACAACAAAGACAAAACACGTGCACAAGTATGCACACTCGTACACCTAAATGCCGGGTTATGATGCTATTCCTTTTGGTTTTTTATTTGAAATAGTGTCTTGCTATGTAGTCCAGGCTGGTCTTGAACTCTGCTGGCTCAGGGTGGCCTCCAGCTCACCACCATTCTCCTGCCTTAGCCTCCCGAGTGCTGGAATTATAGGCATGTGCCACCGCGGCCATCTTGCAATCTAGTTCTTAATCCATGATCATCCCAACAGGCTGTGTTGGTTCAGTGTCTACTTGCCCTTCTATGTTTTTTTCCCACCCACCTCCACTGAGCCTTCCCCAATTTGTTTTTCTATCCCTGAAGAAAAAAAGGACGGGTAGCCGTTCCAACTTTCTGTCCTCTTTTCCTTTTATTCCTCTCATTCCTTAATAATGTAACATAATGTGACATAGGCTTTCCACAAGAGGGCAAGAGTAAAAGTTGTTTTCCTGTTTCTTTTGGCAGCAGGTTAAAAACAGGATGAAAGGTTCAGAGTTCACTGCAAAGAGCATGTCTAAACGATCAGAGTCATCTGATAGGTCAACAGGGGCACTCTTTGGGGTGGGCTCCTGGACCAGAAATCTCCTGGAGATGCCTATGAAGATATTTTAGAGCAGCTGGAAGGGCACCCCTTGAAAGAAGAAGGGCGTGGATTGGCAAATGATTTCTTGGAAGTTACAGATGAGGCTAAAAATTCCACAAAAGACAGATGTGAAGAATATATGGAAGCGGAGGTACATCCAAATCTGTCCTCCAGTCCTGTTCAACATCAGGGAGTTCCAAAGGGACCGAAATTCTATCAGTGTGCTGAATGTGGAAAACTGTTCTGTTGGAGTTCACACCTCCTTGGCCACCAGAGCATCCACACTGGAGAGCAGCCCTACGAGTGTAATGAGTGTGGCAAGAGCTTCAGGCAGACCTCTCAGCTCATTGTTCATCTCAGGACCCACACAGGAGAAAACCCTATGGGTGCAGTGAGTGTGGGAAGACCTTTCAGCATAGCTCCCACCTTATCCAGCACCAGGGGCTCCATAATGGGGAGAGACGCTATAAATGTAATGAATGTGCAAAAGCTTTTAATCAGAGTTCCAAACTCTGGTGGTAAACTTTTACCACCAGAGAACTCATACTGGGGAGAAACCTTATGAATGCAAGTGTGGGGCAGCCTTTAGTCAGAGTAAAAATCTTGTATGACATAAGGTCCTTCACACTAGGAAGAAACCTTACAAGTGTGATGAGTTTGTAGAAAAGCTTTCTGTTCCAAAAACAGTGTTATTGACCATCAGAGAATCCACACTGGGGAGAAGCCTTATGAATGTAATGAAGGTAGCAAGGCCTTCAGTCAGAGTAAGTGTCTCATTTGACACCAGAGCTGCCACACTGGGGAGAAACCATGCAAATGTAACAAATGTGGGAAAGCCTTCATTTAGATCTGTTGGCCTTGTTGACCCTAAGTGAATTCATACTGGAGAAAAACCATTTACATGTAGTCAGTGTGGTAAGGCATTTGGTCTGAGTAAATGCCTTGTTTGGCACCAGAGACTTCCCATGGCTGAAAAGCCTTACAAATGTAATGAGTGTGGAAAATCCTTCAATCAAAATTCATACCTCTTTATACACCAGTGAATTCACACTGGTGAGAAACCCTATGAATGTAGTGAATGTGGGAAGGTCTTCAGTGACAGCTCTAGCCTTATGGTACATCAGAGGACACATACTGGGGAAAAACCCTATCAATGCAAGGATTGTGGGAAAGCATTCAGTGACAGCTCACAGCTTATTGTGCACCAGAGAGTTCACACTGGAGAGAAACCTTACGAATGTATTGAGTGTGGGAAAGCCTTTAGTCAGCGTTCCACTTTTAACCACCACCAACGAACTCACACTGGAGAGAAGCCTTCAGGTCTGCCTTGGTCAGTATCTTAAGGTGTTGTTCTTGGGGATAGTGAGCAAGGGTGAGGCTACCTTCATCAAAAGTTTGTTCACTGCTATATTCTCTTGGAAGATAAGGACCACCCCCTCGTGTTTTCTCTTGGGCTACTAAGGTGGGAGAGTAATGCAGTTTTTCCTCACTAGTGGGCAAGTATGGACTAAGCACTTCATTTACATGTGGATTGGCCTCTTTCTTCCTTTCTCTAAGTATTTTAAAATGTCATTTGTTAGCATTTACCCTGTCATGAATTGTGTTTCTAAGGAAGAATGAGTATATCTTTATTCTATTGCAGATACTCACTTTCATTATTTATGCAAAGTCATTTTACAGTCCCCTTCTACAATATTTATATAAAGTCATTTGTAAATCAAAGGATAAGACAAGGCCAAGGCCAGGGACACTTGGCTCCAACCTCAATTAGCTAGATAAAGATTGTAGTGGCAGACATCTCACTCCTGCAGTGAAGGCCTTCCAGGAGACAGTATAGTTCTCCTAAATTAACATAATGTATTACTTGGAGAGTCCTTAAGGGGTTCTCAAGACCTACCCAGATTCCTGCATTTTCTTCAGTATTCCCCTCCTTTGTTTGACAACATAATAAATATGGGCTGCCTAGAGAAGTTCTTGGTCTTAAATCCCAGAAAATCTCTAATTCTGTGAGAGGGTTTTTGATTCTCCTGGAGCTCTGAAATCATTTCATTTGTCTCTTTTATGTAAGCCTTCACCATCTACTTGTTTGGGAGATTGGGGGCCTGATCAGTCTGCAATAAATAAGGGATAATATTAACCAGATAATACATTTTATTGTTTTTAAGTGTTTTATTGGGATCCACTTACCTTGCTAAATTATTTGTAGTTTTGTTTTTTTTTTTTTTTTGCTTTTTTGTGCATGTATATAATAAATAATAATTTGTTATCAATTTCCAGTCTTGTGTCCCTTAGGTTTGCATTAGCAAGATATTAAAAACATAAACAGTGGATAGAGAGATTCCATTTTTTTTTAACTCTCAGGAGCAGATATTTTGTAGCATTTTGCAGTTTCTTACACTATTTATTGTTGAGTTCTGTTGAGAAGTTCCCTTTTCTTCCTGTTTTTCCAAGAAACAATGTAATGATTAAGAGCACAGATTTTGTGTTCAGCACCCCAGGTTCAAGGTCTTGCCCTGCTACTCTTTTAGGCAGGTGTCCTGGGGCAAATAATTTAGCTTCCTGTTTCTTCCTATAAAATATATACCTATAAAATAGCTACCTCTTTGTGTTGTGAAGATTTATAGAAGTTACTTAAAGCTGTGCTTGAGACATGGTATATACTATCAAGGTTATTATACTTAAGAGTTTTTTATTTTAAATTAAGGAAGGTAAGCCAGGCGTGGTGGTGCATGCCTGTAATCCCGGCACTTGGGAGGCTGAGGCAGGAGGATCTTTGCAAGTTCAAAACCAGCCCGGGCTGGGGATATAGCTCAGTGGCATAAGTGCCTGCTTGGCAAGCGCAAGGTCCAGAGTTCGATTCC